AGTAAATAGAAATAACCAAGTGAAGTGCCCGTATAATAGTTTTACCTGACACAGACTTTACAAACAGAGGTAAGTATGCTAGGAGTTAATCTTATTAGACAGGACACATGGAAACTAACCTGGATGAAACCGAACATAGTTTTCTTGAACATGTAGATTTTTGGGCAAGTCCATTTTCTTTAGCGCATCAAATGGAGTTGTTGTATCAACTGGTGTTTTGTAGAACTCTCTAAGGTCATCTGAAGAAAAATGAAGCAATTTTGTTTGAATTAATGATATTATTATGTTAACCAAATGTAAATAATTTGATAATCCAAACTTATACTTTTATTTGTATATAAATAGCATGTGCAAAAACAATTACCAATATTTTACATCACATGAATAAGAAATATTATGTGCTTTCAAACATGATATGTATATTCATTTTTTACCCTGTACTTAAAGAAATTTCTCTACATTGAATAGAACATTGCAGCACAGGTCCATCCATATCAATTACTTCTGAATGCATAATAATTCATAAATAACACACTTATATATCATATAAACAACATTTATCATTACTTCCATTTTTTCTTAGCTATCGTTTCCTTCAATGTTCCTAACTTGCTCTCATTTGATATATAGTAAAAGATTAAATGTATAAAGCTCTTACCAACAGTTTCTATTGTATGTAATAAAGAGTTGGGCACACTGTGTTTAGTTTCTTTATAGCAAGCATTTAGAACCAAGAATTTTTTATCAAGTCCATCAAATTCTGAATTTTCATCAAGCCCGTTTTCAGCGCAAATCTTAAGAACAGTTTCCTCTATATTTTTCGGTGGCGCCCACGGCTTATTAGGACGAAGAAATCTGAAATATCAGGAAAAAATACAATAAACAATAAATAACAAACTGTCTTCTATTATTTTTTCATCTTTTAAAATTGTTTGATAGCTTAGTGTCTTCTATATGTGGATTTCTCAATAAAAATTGGATATTCAGATTGTAGAATTCATAGTAAAATACAGATCTTATTGAAATTATGTGCGTACATTGTCTTTTTAGAATTCAAATTGCAAGAGGGAGAGTGAATGTATATAAATCAAAATGAGTGAATGTAGAATGTATAAAAGGACAATGATGATGGACCGATTGTAGATTCTCTCGCCAAAGGAGATGATGATGATGGCTGTCAAGGACGACGCGACTACAGCTCAGAAGAGGCTCACACGACTGGCCGACTACCGTTCCGACCTAGCGCGAACTGCGAGCAACCGACGACGCAACTGCGGCGGGGCGCGGGGGGAAACGCACGGGATAGGTCAACTACCGCTCTGACTTAGCGCTAACTGCGTACTCATAATCTTAGATATAAGTAGGGTCATTTTGTCATTTTTTCATGCGATCGAGAACAGCAAAAATTGTAATAATAAATAAGAAGAAAATAAATCAAGAAAGAAAAATCGAGTTTTAATCATCATACAGTCCACAACAATGGCGTTAACAAAAATAATATGTTAAAGCTTCAATACGTTATTATTATTACTGATGAGGGTGGGATTATTTAATAAATTGAGTTAATTATAATAATAATAATAAATACAAGTCACAACGTAAAAACACATTGTGTCTTGTTTAACATTTTCTAAGGAGTAGTTCTAAATTAAGCAGAGCTTGAATTTTGGTAAGTAAATATAACATTCAGTTAACCATGTATTAGGAGAAAAATTTTGTGCTTATTACACAAATAAATGCCTGTCCAGGATTTGGTAAAAATCCCGAATAAGAGACCAGAAGTTGTAGTTAAGAGGTGGGTAATATAGCTTTTATTCTGAATCAAATCAAAACTTTATAACAATATTCGGTTCTAAAACTATATATTTTGATGTCAGTTATATCTGTGACGACCATACCAAACATTATAAATAATTCTAAAGGATTAGTTAAACTATATTTCCCAGATACCGATAAATAACTGTTATTTAAGTATTAGGTACATAAGGTTGGAGTCAGATAACACAGTATTTATCCATGTATTTTAGAGTGATGTAGTTGATTTCTACAAAATTATAAACATTTATACAAATAATATAATTCTGTTTTATTTTCGAAATATTATAAACTATTTTATTATGGAATGAATGTAATGAAAACAAATTAAAAAATGTGTTGCATCGTAACTATCGCTGTTACACTCTCATCTCATCATATGCTCTTTCTACTCTCGCTTGGCATTCGTTGCGCTCATATTCGATACGATTCAATATACTTTGAACAGTTTACATACAATCAGTGGTTATTGAATGCCTGATGCAGTAGTGTTTTGCCAAAATATATAGTTATAGCTCGCATTGATATCAGATTTGACAATATTGATGCAATATACGTTTCAATATCTATATACGATTTGTATCGTCCATCTATTCATCCTATGTAGTTGTAAAACTTACAGAAGACCATAACTTACCCTCTCGCAGCTAATGACTCTGCAGCAGCCTGAAGTTTCTTGTCAACTTTTGGCACCTTTTTCTGTTTATTCCTTACAGTTATTATCTGAAATATAATATTGTTAGTGATATTTTGGCTCAAGAAAATATGAAAATAAATTGAGAAAGCTAACCTGCAAATTCGTGCGCAAAGAGGGTAATAGCACATTTCTTAACATATTTCGTGCTTCTGTTTTTTTAATTAATATTTAATGAAAATAAACGTAAGTTTTTATCTTAGGATAGTTTATTTTTAACTTAGTTGAAGCATAATTCAGGTGAATTTGGTTTTGACGAAATTCTGACAGGTGAAATTTTTTGACACTTCAGAGCAGTGTTGCCAGGTACGATTTTTAAAAATCGGTGTAAGGGAGATTAAAAACAGATTTACGGCAGAGAAAAGATGCAAGAAAAACATTGTACATGTAAACTTAAACTTAACACGAGAGACTCATCGTAACGTTACCGAGCGTTACACTTTTTCATAAGTGACTCCCAGCCGCAACCTAATTTAAGACGTTGTCACGTCAAAATGGTTGCCTGTAAAGTCGGTTTTACGGGCGAAGATTTTACGTGACAACGTCTTTTTCTCGGTAGAATATTTATTGATATGAATATAATTAAATTGCACAATAGGAACAAGGAATTGAATGAAAATAAGAACTGCACAAATTTTAACTATAGAAATATATTTTGTTTACTAAAACATTGTACATGTAAACTTAAACTTAACACGAGAGACTCATCGTAACGTTACCGAGCGTTACACTTTTTCATAAGTGACTCCCAGCCGCAACCTAATTTAAGACGTTGTCACGTCAAAAAGAGTATAAGTATTGAAAGAGCTGCAAATAGAAACATGAACATGGTTTTAAAAAAACAATAGTTTTAACTCATTTAAACATTTTTTACTATTGTTTTTAGCAATAGCAACTATTGAATTACACCGTATATTTAATTAACCCATTTTGCTTTTTTAAAAGATATAATACAGAAGATGCTCGTCAATTTAATAGCTTAATACAAGTAAAAATCGGTATTAGCATTTGGCGGTTTTTAGGGTTCCGTATCTGAAAAGGAAAAAACAAAACCTTTATAGGACTGGACCACTTTATTGTATGTCCGGCCATCTGTCAAGACCATTTTTCTCAGGAACTCGTGGAGGTTCATATCTAATAGTCACATCTATTGTCCCTTGGAGCTGTTAAAAAATCAAACTTCTAAGCTAAAGCAATCAAAAGCAATCTTGGGCCTGCCTGACTTCCAAATCATGAACCAGATATTATTTTTTACTTTTTAGTTCCATTTTCGATTTTGTAGTTGGTTTTAATTATTTGTTTATTTTTTTTATTTCATCCATTTTAGTGAAAATTACATCGTCCCAGTAAACAATAACACAATTGACTACCTGGGAAGTGCATTCTTTCGAATAAGAAAAGAATTTTGGAAATCGGTGAACATACATAAAAAAAATATTAATAAACAGTCGAACACTTTTTTGAAGTCGGTTAGAGTCTGAGTGCGGAAAGAGAATGGGCGTGGCGAAAAACGTAACTAACATTAAGATTTTTATTTTTGGCAATCAAACCCAGCAATCTGTAAAACGTCAAAGTTTTGTATTGATACGGATTTCTTTGTTGTTGTGATTTCTTGCGGTTTTTTGTATTTAATCGTGTCTAAAAGGGGTAAAACCTTACAAATACGGTAGAAATCCCATTCTCTTTCGGCACATACTCTAATTAGGTATTTAAAGAAAGTCATTGTGTATAATAGAAGCCTGAGAACAAAAATTATAGTTTAAACTACAGCTCTTCACCGAAGCGAAGCGAGGGCGGGCCACTAGTGATATATACGAAAAAATCATAACACAATTATACTGTAGTATAATCGTACAGTACAAGTTTTAAAAGTTTGCAAATATCAAGCTTTTTAGTCGTCGTATAAGGTACCATGTAAGCGATGGTGGCCATCTCCTTTTTTTCATGATTTTATTTACACACTGGTGTCGATTCTGGCGTGATTCTCTAAACTTAAAACTAAATTTAACATCAGTCTCTCCTTTTCATTCTGTATAGAGAATGACAGGGATGCACTGTTGTCAAATTTAAGTTTAGCTTTAGAGAATCATGCCAGAATCGACATCACTGTACTTGGATGTCTATCTGACTGACGCTCCATCTATGATTCATTAATCTAGGGTAATTGCCGTAGTAATGGCAACACTGGAGATATACAAGTTTTTTGCAAGCGAAAGGATTGAGTATCCAGGCCAGAATAAAAAAAACAAGTTTTTTTTTATTGACATTTTGTATTCGCGTTTTCGTTTAGTTATACACATTTTCCGAATTTGTAAATTTAATTATCCCATAACTGATAAGTTTTACACTTTTATTTGATTAATTATATTTTTATGTAACTATTGAGATGAAAATACATTTAAAAATTTATTAAATAAGTTTTTGTAGTGTACAGTAGGTAGCGAACGAAACGTATACCTGATTTCTGAACGAAATGTAGTTCTCAAAAGTACCGCTACGAGCAGCACTATCGGCTTGGGTTGTTGTTTCCTTTCCTATCCGCCATCTTCCAGACAGTCGCCATTGAAAGGTGAAATCTACGCTAAATGTCGGTGATAATTTTAAGATTTTGAGTGGTTTCTTTAAGATTGAACCTGTTTTAAGTGTTGTGAAATGAAAATGAAGTGTTCAGGACTACCATGACGCATCAAAATCACCAAACAAACGGTGCAAGTCTTGAGGATTGCCACACAAACTTCTTCGCCTTGGTAAGTCACTTTTACATTGATGAAAGAACTTGTACCTATGTATTTCTTTCGAAATCATTCCGATATAAATACGATATCTATGTTGCACATTGCTTTTCTAAGTGGTTATGTTATGTGTAGAATGCTCTAAATAATAGGTTCATGATGATAGGATGTTCTCGGTCTCATTTGCGGACGCTGGTGTTCAAATTTTACCTTATTGCGAGACGACAAGCGCATTGATCTATTGCGTTATATTCATTTACGGAATAATTTATGTTTGGACGTCTAATGACGCTCGACCGTTAGTCATCCTGGCATCGTTCGCAATATAGTAAAGAGTCATGTTGCGTTGCTAACCCACAAAATGTCAACGCTTTCGGCGAGCGAGGCCACAAGAAGCCACCGGTCCATAGAGGTCATTTTAAATTCACCTGGCCGTAACGCGGACCGTAATGCGTTCGCAATACTAGTTTCGCCAGGTCGAGGAAATAACTTTCTTGTTATATTTTGTAAGGCTGCGTTCGTGATCGAGTCTCATGAAGTGTGTTTACGCGGGAGCATGCAAAAGAAACAGTCAGGGTCATTCAATAGCGCAGTGTAGTTGTAGTAGGTAGTCGCTTTGCGTAATGTTCATAGTTGGCGCGAATTTTATCAGATTGTTCGGATGAAGATTAGCGGGTGAGCGGGAGGGTGGGGCGAGTGACGGGGGCGGTCGGTCGTCCTCGGCGAGCCCGAGAACAACACGGCGCTACTTCCACCTGACGCGTTGCCACATCTCCGCGGCGGCGCGCGCCTGCCTGCCTGCACCCGTCCCCGTCTCCCTCGGCGCTCCGCCTATCTTGCCGCGATACAAATTACCGATTTCTTGCCCTGCCTGCTTATTGTCTAATTATTTATGCGTCGTTTGCGGACACCGGAGCTTTTGTCCTGTGGAATTTTCTCATTCTCGCTCTGACGAAAGGTGACGCATCGGGTGCCTAGTTTGTCATTGCAAGAGTTCAATACACTCGCTTTGATCGCAGTGTCGTTTACATTTTGAATACCTACGTTGAATAGCCGTATTGTTTTACATAAAATTGGGATCAAGGGCTTTTCTGTTGTTAGGAGACGGTTGATTATTATCTGAAGTACCGTGACTTGTCGGTTGAGTTTCGAGTGTAAAGCGGTGCGGCGACATCTGTGGTGGTGTCGCGGGGTCGGCGCGCGCGCACTCCGTTCGCTCGGCCGGCTGCGCAGGCGTCTTGCGCTCATTCAACCGTTTATGAATGGTTGTAATGATCGTAACTTTCCCATAAGCGGGCCTCCGCCCAGGCCCCAATTGCGTACTCAAGGATTGGTTAGCATAGTTGCCTTTGTTCTACCACTGATTATAATTGGATTGTTACTTATTCAATTTTGCAATAATGCAAGTGGCTAGTCCGACTGCTAGTTAAGGAAAATATGACGACTTTTTTTGTTTATTTGAATGGCTGGTTCAAATTTGTTTAATAAGTATTTTTCTTTATTATATTTTCAAGAAGCTGTCAGCCTGAGATATCTCACCTACTGAATATTAAATACGTACTATGGACCTGTAAACCCGAATCCAAGAGTACCTATCTGGCACAGATGGCCGACTTTGTCCACGCTAAAGTCCGCTGCTAAGTTATTCATGACGAACCACAGCCTCACTCACCCCCTACGCGCCGCCGCCCTATGCACACTATAGTACGCAGATTGTTCCTTTTCTTATTCGTTGCAAGATCTAAGAGATCTTACAATAGTAGTGTCAGGGCGTATTTTTAAATTTGGCGCCCTGGCCACGTATGATTTCCACACTAGAATTTGTAAATCAACTCAAAATATACCTATTTCAGTAACGAATGTCTTTTTAAGGCTTCTGCCGCTCTGCTCAGCCTGCCGCCTCTGGCTATGCCCGTAGGGTAATTACGGCCCTGAGTAGTGCAAGTATCTTGTTTATTTATTAAAGTGATTTCTTAAATTACTTATTTAACTGGCTATAATATATTGGCCTGGAAAGTTGAACAATGTTGATACTTCTTTGGGTCAGTAACTCTTAATCATGTACTTACTAACTGATACCCTTTCAGAACTTGTTTTCTGGACGTAAATATACTGTCATTGGTCTTCCCTATTTAGAAAGGACATTGACATCAAGAATGGAATAACATAGCGAATTTCTCACTTGCATCAGGAAGAAGTAACTTTTAATTTTATATCACAGAAGATCATACAGTAAAAGAAGACTATCTCTTGGTAATTTTGTATTTCCTTCGATGATTATGGTTTTCTTCCATAGATCCACCGGATAGGGAATGTGGTCGCTTAAGGAACGCAACGCGTGGTATCGTAAGCGTGTCTCTAAGCTATTGTGGTCGCTTACCATAAGGATGTATTCTTGATTGCCATCTTTTTACATAAATATAAAAATAACCCACCCATCAGTTCTATTGTGTATTGTTGGGTACTGTGCTGGTGCTGCACACCGCATGACTAGAGATGTATTCGCGGCGCGACCAGTTTTATAGGTATGCCTTTAAAAATACTGAGAAGTTGAAAGATAACACATATTTTACCACCCATTGGATCATGACCTATCCCTGCGAAAGTTACTTAATTTAAGTTCTGAGCCTCTCATAACTTATTTCATTGTAGTAATAATTTAAGATCGAGAATGGCATTTGACTGGATTGGCAAATGTATAAGTTGTATTGTTTACAAGACAGCTCAATTCGCGCTTTGTTAATAGATTTAAAGAAACATCTGGCTGTTTTGTGCGGCAGAAGCCGATACACGGCAAAATAAATAAATTTGTGATTACTTCGGTGGCCGCTTTCGGTGCCAGCGCCAAGGTCGGGCAAAAACGGCTACCTGCACCAGTACAAATCTGTACTTTACCTGACGAACATGAATTCGACCTTTATGCCATTCGAGAATGAGTTGAGCGCACAATATTTCGGCGACGCGGTCAAGGGATCAACTAGCCGTGTTCAATACTTACTTGTGTTTACGGGTCGCAAAAGTCATCTGGTAATGTCGAATATATGGTACTGTGAAGAGCCTTCTAAAGATATAAAACACTCGCGTGTTTCGCCTCGTTTATGTTTACCCGCAACAGAAACAAGACTCTGAAAATCTTACAACTAAATTGCTTAACGTTATATAGGTAAGTAACTGTTTTTTAACTAGATTGTTACGCAATAATTCAACCATTTGCCTGTCGATGTAGTTTTCATCTATTTAAATAAATGCTATGTTTTCGATGTTGTTATTGTAGCGGTTTCGTCTGCTCGTAACAACTTATCACCAACACTGTCATGTTATCAAGGTCTGAGTGAGTGAAAACGGTGGCCATCGCGGTTTCTTATCAGCCATTCGATGTCAAGCATTATTTAACTGAGAATTTTCTCACATACATTGAAACAATAATATACACTAGTACGTGAAAAAAAAAATTATGAGTAGCTATAAAATTACGATTCGAAGAAATACAATTGGTTCCATGCTCTCTCTGGTATTGCTTTTAAAATATTGTTTTATTTGTGTTTGTACACTGTCTCGGCGCGGCGGCGGCGACCAATAGCCAGCCTCGCGGGAACAGCGTCACACAGATATACATGTATGACACTGATAACGCTCATTTCGCGGTGACGCTATCTTTTTGTCACACGCTGTATTCGAATATTGTTTTTGTTCTTCAGCTCGCTTGGAACGCGGCGTTTACTTGTAAGCGATTTCTGCAAATTATAACCTTGCAAATGCATGACTCAGTTTAAGAGCAATGGTATTATTACCCAACAGCGATATTCGAAATAAAAACAAGAAATTGGCCATTAATTAATTCATAAGTCAAAATAGAACTTACAACACGGAAGCTCTCGGTCTTATCAAATATATTCCATATAAATAATGTAATAAATAGTGATATAGTTATTGATGGTGGGAATTAACATGCAGCCTGAATCACAAAATGTTTGCAATCATCTTACACAGTCGTGTTAAGTCATTATAAATTAGATGTACATTACCATTGAGGAGCTCGATGGCGCAAGCGGTTAGCGCGTTCGACTGCGATCGTTGAAGTTAAGCAACTTTCGCAGTGGTCGGTCATTAGATGGGTAACCAAAAATTTACTATCTCGAGCTCCTCGTTGCTTCGGAAGGCACGTTAGGCCGTTGGTCCAGGCTGCATCTGCAGTCGTTAGCTCCCACCAATCCGCACTGAGCCCGCGTGGTGGGTCATGGCCCAATCTCCCTATTCCATTCATAAGGAGCGCCTGTGCCCCAGCAGTGGGGACATTAATAGGCTGGTGATGATAATGACATTACCATTGATTCATACACAGCGAATTGTCGCTATGGATGTTGTGTTCAACATTCGTTAACTAAACGATTGACGTAAAACTTTCATAAGTCCGCAATAGTTGATGTGTGAATTATTGTTGTTATTATCTCACCGAATAATTTCATAATCATTTGTGTAGGAAAAGAAATTTTTTATCTACTTTTTCACAAGTATAAATAGATCGCTAACACTTGTGTCCTTCGCCCACTTCGTTGTCATGGATTCACTGCAAATAATTATTCATTTTGTTATAGTAAAGTAGTATGTAATCCATATAAAATATGTAATAGGACTGTACTTAAAAACAATTTTCACCACTTGTCTGATAGGAAGTAATGTTTTTTAAAAAACTAGTTGTCCCAGCGAACTTCGTTCCGCCATAAAAATAGGGGTTGGTGGTAGAAGGGTGAAAATTTGGGGTTGTATGTATTTTTGTATGATGTATCATAAAAAAATAAAAACAAAAAATTGATACAAAAAAAGTAATAAGGGTGGCCCACCCTTTCCATTTAGGGGGATGAAAAATAGATGTTGTCCGATTCTCAGACCTACTGAATATGCATATAAAAATTCACGAAAATCGGTCGAACCGTTTCGGTGAAGTTCAATTACGCACACCGTGACACGAGAATTTAATATTTTAGATATTAAAACTTCCTTCAAACTATCAATAC